CATTACAGCAAAAAGTGCCTGCAGTGCTACATATAAACACACACACACACACACACACACACACAGCCCCAGAGATCCACAGTAAAAATGCTGCAGATAGATGGAGTTTTAAACATGAATCTATGGCTCTTCAAAACTTGGCAAGGCTCTTATTCTACAGGTATTCTTTACTGAGTACAACTCAACTGCTATAGTTCTGGTCATACAATTACTTTCCATCAGCACACAATGTTACTTTCAATAGGCTAGTTTCAGAGTCTTATACTGTGAACAAAAAATTCATTATAAAATTATATGCATGGTTGGCTATTTCCCAGGGAGTGCAGGGACTAGAAAACAGGTTTGCCAAAAAAAAAGACAAAAAAGTTTTAATACAGTAACATGCGTTTGTGGGACCATTACCCAATTTGATTCTCCAGTCAGATACATTCTATTCTAAATGAAAATAAAGCAAGGGCTTTTTGGCTCTCTGCTACTCCTGATGAATATGAATAAAGCAAAGGGCAACTTAAATGATTTTCTGCTCCAAAAGAAGACAAATTCTGTATCTGTGCTTTTTATTTTCTCTATTCTGAAAAGTGATCAAAGTAAAGATTTTAATTGTAAAGAACTGGAATGATTACACATCTCCAAATATCTTAAATTATATTGCTAGATATTGGGTGCAGAGTAAATTAGCCTCAATTTATCAAAATAAGATTTTTGTGTGTGTGCCATGGACATCAGTTTTCTGGTATACAAATGGCAGGAGCGGCTGCTTAAGAGGGGCTTCTTACAAGTCAAAGATAAGAAGCCAGGTGAACAGGTAAAAGGAAATCAAACCAAGGCTTCTTAGAGCAGAAGGCAAATTCCAAGCTGCATCACCTTGGTAACATACACTTCATTAAGCTGTAAACAATATACAGAACAATCTCTTCATCCTCCTCAGATCAGAGACTAGGGAATTATCAAAAGACATCCAGAGATCCTACACTCAAGGCACTTGAAACCAAAATCCATTCATCTAATTCACATAACTGGAATATTTTTAGCTAATTAATGTAAACTGGACTTCCAACTCAATTTCCATCAATGCCAATGTTTACTTTTAAACCACTGTTTTGCCATTAATGATGGGGAAAAAAATGAGAATAGCACCAGAACATAGTATTTTTGTTCCATTAGCCTTTCCTTTACTGTGCAGATTACTTTTACTCTTTATAACCAAAACAAAAATAACTCATTATTTTTCTAAACTCTTATCTGTCTTCTCTAAAACCCTTTGACAAAGTTTATGAATAATTCAATTCCAGAAGTTCTTTGAGTGGCAGGAGGGAAAATAAATGAATAGGTGCCACCTAGTAACTAACAAGTTTGAGTTTTCAATTACTCAAGCCTCTCGAGGTATTTTGGATCAGTTAACCAACATACTCTATCTGTAACCCATTTCTTTAGCTATAGGAGCTGAAGAGAGTATCATGGTGTACAGATAAAACAAAAGGGGCTTTACTACTATTATTTTTATAGAAAAAGAATTTTCCTTGCCTTAAGTCAAGATCACAGTTCCCAAAACAGCTCAGTTGGAAAATAGCCAAAGGGGAGTGCCTGGATTTGCTAAACCTCAAAATTGCAAATCTACTTTACTTCTGAATCAACATTTAGATTTTACAATAGGAAGTTAGTATTTTTGTCCTGACAGATATTTTTTTTCTAGTCTCTAAGTCTCATGAAAAGATGAGTCAACTAGATTGATCAGAAAAACCATAACTTTTATATATACCTTTGTCCTGACTATAATTTTATTTTTTAAATCTTCAAGACTAGAGACTTTTAAACACCTACTTTTCTTCCTTTAAGAATACATATTTCAGAGACAAATACTTAGAAGAAACACGTGTGCTTTTAAGTAAATACTGGCTTTCTAACAATCAAGACAGGCCAAGGACAACTGCCAGATTAGTCCTCAAATTTTGGGGAAAGCATGGATTCAAAAAGGAGCCAAGTAAATATAACAGCTGTAGCCAAACAAATATAACAACTTGCCCTTAAATTGCTAATTTCTATAAATTGATTTAATCAACAAAAAAGGCAGCGATATTTATCCTGAAGTGATGGCTAAATGCCATACTGTACTTACCTCCAAATAGTTCCAAATCTCTTAAGCCCTCAACAATGAACTTTTCCGAGACCCACCGCTAAAGAGGAAAACCCCAAAGAGAGTTAGTATTTCTTCCAAGCCACAAAAAATTAACTATCAGCCATTAGATAGACAGACAAAAAGACAACTATAAAAAGTGAATCATGCAGTACAGTTAAGCTACATTTCTATGGAAAAGTTTTGAAAAGAATCTTGCATTTAAATCAACTGAAAACAATAGATTAATTCCTTTCTCTATTCTTCTTTGCCTAATTTGATGAACAATTCTTAAATCTGACAGATGAGAAATAAGTAGTACTGGCCCTAATAATGAAGAATGCTTTTGTCCTTCCTATATATAAAACTGCCTTTTGGTTCCATCTTATTCATTCCATTGCTGTCTATTACACATGCTTTGGATCATTAACGCCAATTTGAAAAATACTGGAATTCACACACAGAAAATAGGGATGAAACAGTTTTTCACAAGCCTCTATTAGTTTGTAAAAGGAAACAGCAAACTGCATATTCTTTCATCCACTAGGATTTCTAAAGACATCACCAACGTTTACATTTTCTACCAAGTTTACAAGGACCAAACTAGCACGACTAATCTATGGTTCACTTTACTGGACTATTTCACACTAGTATTGGATTTCCATCATACTGATCAGCGGTCTGGTTTCACCTGAATCGGGTTAGGTTGAAATAGAAAAGAAGCTCATACATAAAAGCAATGGGATCAAGGTTATATTTCACTCAAGGGCTGGTATTAAAGCTTGGCTTAGGGGTATTCTTTCCACTGGGTAGAGTTCAGGCTAAGGAGGGATTCTGTTTTGTTTCTCTTAATTAATAGCAAGGTTTACTCTTTCCAATATAAATTATTCTTACCGCATAAACATAAGAAAAAGGAAGATTAAGGAACATTCAGAAATAAGTTGTATAATATGCACTATGAATTTAAACTATAACATCATTCTCTATATCAATTTTTTCCAAATTAAAAAAAGAACACCGTAAATTTAAAAAATTGATATACAAAATTTATATTCACTGGAACACAAAATATAATTGACACCTTAATATTTAAAGAAAGTGGTATATTAAGGGAGTTCCCTGGTGGCCTAGTGGTTAGGATTCCAGGCTTTCACTGCTGTGGCCCGGGTTCAGTCCCTGGTTGGGGAACTAAGATCGCACAAGCCGTCCGGCCAAAAGAGAAGAAAAAGAAAAAAAAAGAAAGTGGTATATTCACAATGTCTCACAGTACACATACAGTGTTACAGAATTTTAAAATAATTACTACAGCAGTTAGAAATTGAGTACTTGATAATAAACAAGATAGTCTTTTAGGAAATCATTTAGGAAGCTTGTAAAGAAGCTAAACCCAGTATTTGTTCTTGAGGTCATTTTAGCTAGTGAAGTTCTAAGGTGTAATAAAATTTTTCAAAAAGCCTTCAATTAAAACCTATGATGGGAGTTCCCTGGCGGTCCAATGGTTAGGACTCTGTGCCTTCACTGCCAAGGGCCAGGGTTCAAAAAAGTGTTCCAATAATTACAATCTGATGCTGATTTTGTTTAAAATTTATTTATTTATTTTCGGCTGCATTGGGTCCTTGTTGCTGCGTGCGGGCTTTCTCTAGTTGCAGTGAACGGGGGCTACTCTTTGTTGTGGTGCGTGGGCTTCTCATTGCGGTGGCTTCTCCTGTTGCGGAGCACAGGGTCTAGGCACACTGGCCTAGAGAGTTGTGGCACACGGGCTCAGTAGTTGTGGCTCGTGGGCTCCAGAGCACAGGCTCAGTAGTTGTGGCACACAGGCTTAGCTGCTCTGCAGCATGTGGGATCTTCCTGGACCAGGGCTCGAACCTGTGTCCCCTGCACTGGCAGGCGTACTCCCCACCACTGAGCCACCAGGGAAGTCCGATGCTGATTTTTAAAACACACAAACTGCGCTTCCCTGGTGGTGCAGCGGTTGGGAGTCCACCTGCCGATGCAGGGGACGGGGGTTCGTGCTCCGGTCTGGGAGGATCCCGCGTGCCGCAGAGCAGCTGGGCCCGTGGGCCATGGCCGCTGGGCCTGCGCGTCCAGAGCCTGTGCTCCGCGATGGGAGAGGCCACAGCAGTGAGAGGCCCGTGTACCGCAAATAAAAAACAAAAAAACACACACACACAAACTCACTGAAAATGCATAGGAAACAGGCAGATCACTAGTGGGTACACATCTACACTGAAAAGGGAGAGCAACTCATTTAATGTTGAATGACTGATAATCATAAAATAAGCCACCTTGTTTCTTCTCTATCAGACAAGCTGGTGGGTATATTCTGTGTCTCTGGTCAGCCTCTGCCTGCAAATTCGTTTCTTTTTTTAAAAAATTTATTTATTATTTATTTCTGGCTGCATTGGGTCTTCACTGCTGCACGCAGGCTTTCTCTAGCTGTGGCGAGCGGGGGCTACTCTTCGTTGCAGGGCACGGGCTTCTCATTGTGGTGGCTTCTCATGTTGTGGAGCACGGGCTCTAGGCGTGCGGGCTTCAGTAGTTGTGGCACATAGACTCTGTAGTTGTGGTACACAGGCTTAGTCGCTCCTCGGCACATGGGATCTTCCCGGACCAGGGCTCAAACCCGTGTCCCCTGCATTCACAGGTGGATTCTTAACCAGTGTGCCACCAGGGAAGTCCCCGCAAGTTCTTTTCTTAGGAGTGGAGGCTGCAATACCTACTTTACTTTCTACATCCCTCACTTCTGTATGTTTCTGAACATCACATAAAAAAAAAAAACCCAAAAACCTCCTACAATATCTGCCAAACACACTGCTTTTCAGAAAATAAAAAATAGTAAAGCCAGAAGAAGAGAAACACTCACCCTAATTCGCTCTGGTTTACTTACAAGAAAAGACATGAGTTCCTAACGTGTAGACCTACTTCAATTTCAAAAATTTAAACCTAAAAGGAAAATAGACACAGGTTGTTAGTCAAATCTGCTTTTATAGAAATATTTGTTGATTAACAAAAACTTATTATGAGTCTACCATTCAAAGCACTGTACTAGACCTACAAATTCCTAGATTCTAAAGGTTTGTTTAGAGAAACTTTAAGTAACAATAAACCTGGATGTACTTTGGCCAAATACATTCTGAAATACTGCAATATCTGTAAGAGAAGTTTTTTATAGGGTTTTTTTGTTTAAATTAATTTTTAAATTTCTCGTGACCCAACCCTCCACTGACCCCTCTGCAGAAGCAATCACCTGCAATTCTTTTGTCTGTTTATCGTCCTTTTTATCATCATCCTTAAATGCTGTTTATGTGTCATGACTTATCCATTTTAGACATTTATCTACTAACTTTCTACCATGGTAGGTGAAGACTAAGCTCTCCCACATCAACTTCCTGCACCCTACATTCCTGCCTTCATTCTCCCAACATAGTTCTGACATAAATTTTGGTTAATAGTCCAAATTTACATTACTAGGACTATGTAAACATGGTTCTTCGTTGAGGCAAACAGAGGTGACCACGTCATATTCCCCATACACTCATTTTTCCCCCCTAGAGTTAATAATTGCCTCATTTTTTCACTTGCTTGTTTTCCCATGTAGCTATTAACTTTTCCAAATACTTCAACATTTCTGCTATTCGTCTCATCAGTGTGTTTTTCCATACACTCAAATTCATCCATTCCAATTTTCCCCTGGAGACGGCCTTCCAGAGGCCCTCCATCCTGCTGCAGTCTGGACTAGCTGCTTAGTCAGTTGCACTTAGTCAGCCTTTAGAGCGTGGAGATTTGGGGCTTCCGATTCTGGGGAATATCATTTCTTTGACAAGAAATAGGAACAGAAACTCTAATAGTTAAAGGTGTACTTCTAGAATTAGCCCCCAATTTTGTATTTATTTCACTCATACTTTACAACTCTCTGCTTTCTAGGAGACTTCTTCAAACTTTATTTTCCAACCTTTCTACTAAGTTTTACATTTTTGTTACCCATTTCCAAGAGCTTTTGCCATTTCTCAAATGTATCTTTTTTCATATCATCCTGATCTTATTTATTTATTTTTTTTTGCAGTAGGCAGGCCTCTCACTGTTGTGACCTCCCCCGTTGCGGAGCACAGGCTCCAGACGCACAGGCCCAGCGGCCATGGCTCACGGGCCCAGCCACTCCGCGGCACGCGGGATCCTCCCGGACCGGGGCACGAACCCGTGTCCCCTGCATCGGCAGGCGGACGCCCAACCACTGCGCCACCAGGGAAGCCCCTGATCTTATTTTATGTTTGCTATTTATAGTTAAGAATTTATGTCTAGAATGGCTAAAAGCATAATACATCATGACCGAGTGGGGTTTACTTCAGGAATAACAGATTGGTTTAACATTTAAAACTGAATCAACGTACCCAAAACTGTCTTTGTTTGAAGTTGTTTGCAAATAAAGAACAACCAATTTTAAGGAATTTGAAAAAATGAATCGATGCCATTTTACCTTATTAACTGAGTAAGCAAGTAAAAATACAATCATTTCAATAAATGGAGAAAAAGCATCTAACAAAATTCAACACTAACCCACAAGTTAAAAAAAAAACAAAACTCTTAGTCAATTAGGAATAGTCAACTAGGAATAGAATAGAAATAGAATTTACCAAGTCAACTTGCTAAAAGATATGTATAAAAAATTTCGGGGGAGTGGGGATGGTGGTGTGCTGAATTGGGCGATTGGGATTGACATGTATACACTGATGTGTATAAAATTGATGACTAATAAGAACCTGCTGTATAAAAAAATTAAATTAAATTAAAAAATTAAAAAAAATTTATAGCTAACATCTATTAACAGTAAAAAGAATGAATGAATTTCTTCTAAGGACAGAAGGAAAGCAAGAATATTCTTATCACTGCTATTCATTATTGTACTAGTGGTCTTGGCCAATGCAAAAAGGCAAGAAGAAATAAAAGGCGTATAGATTGGAGAAGACGTAAAATTCTTTATGATTTTCTATGTAGACATGATTGTATACATAGAAAACTCTAAGTATTCATAAAAAATCATTATACTTAAAATGAATGTAGAAAGGTCAATTATAAAATGTAATTGTATTTCTATATACTAGCAACAACCAAGTAGAAAATGAAATTTAAAAAACAATACCATCAATAATACCTACAAAACCATAAAATAATTAGGAATATTTTAATAAATTATGGATAAGACCTGTACGTTTAAAATTATAAAACACCGCTAAGAGGGATTAAAGATGATCTAGATAAGAGGTGTGCACCATGTTCATAGATTGGAAGACTCTATATCATTAAGATGTTAATTCTCTCCAAATTGATCTACAGATTCAGTGCAATGCTAATCAAAATTCCAAAAGACCTTGAAAGGAAAATGATAAGCTGTCTAAGGTTTACATGGAAATAGAAGAGACCTAAAATAACCAAAACAGTTTTGAAAAAGAAAGTTATGACTTACATTACCTGATTTCCAGACTTACTTTATTGCTATAGTAATCAAGACAGTGTACTTTGGTCTAAGGATAGACAAATGGATCAATGGAATAGAACAGAGAATCCAGAAATAGACCCATGCATATATGGTCAATTAATTTTCAAAAGAATGGCCAAAGTAATTTCATGGGGAAAGATAGTCTGGATACAACTTGATATCTATTTAGAAAAAATGAACATTGACCCTTACCTTACAGCCTACACAAAAATTAACTTGAAATGGATCATAGAACTAAAGAGAAAGTTAAAACTACTAAAGAAAACAGAGGAGAAAATCTTCATGATGTTGGGATAGGCAAAGATTCAAAAACAGAACATCAAGAGCATGAAATATAAAACAAAAATATGATAAATTGATCTTTATCAAAATTAAAAATGTCTGCCTTTGAAAGACACCACTAAGAAAATGAAAAGATTGGGAGAAAACATATTGTGTGTGCATGTATATGTGTGTGAGTGTGTGTGTCTACAAAGGACTTTATATACAGAATATATAAAGAATTTCTATACTCAATAATAAGACAACTCAGCTTAAACAACGGGCAACATATCTGAACAGAAGATATATGAGTGGCCACTAAGCACATGAAATGATGTTCAACATCACTTGTCATCAGGGAAATGTACATAAACCAACGAGATACCACTAAACACCCACCAAAATGGCTAAACATAAAGACTGAAAATACCAAGTGTCGATATCGACCAACCAGAACTCTCATACGTTGCTAGTGGGAATGCAAACTCATGTGGCCACACTGGAAAATGGTTTAGCAGCTTCTTATGACCCAACAATTCTGCTCCTAGGTAATCTACTCAAGAGAAATGAAAACATTTTCTCATAAACTTGTACATGAATGCTCGTAAAAGCATTATTCACAAGAGCCCCAAACTGGAAACAATATCTACCAACTGGTAAATGGATTTTTAAAATGTGGTACATACACCAATGTAATACTACTCAGCAATAAAAAGGAACAAACTACTGATATAGGCAACAATTTCATGTTAAGTGAAAGAAGTCAGACACAGATCTACACACTGTTTCCATTTACATGAAATTCTAGAAAAAGTAAAAATACAACAGAGATCAGATCTTTTTTTTTAATATAAAATAAAGTTATTTATTTTATTTATTATTTTTGGCTGCGTTGGGTCTTCACTGCTGCGCACAGGCTTTCTCTAGCTGTGGCGAGCGGGGCTACTCTTCGTTGCGGTGCGCAGGCTTCTCATTGCGGTGGCTTCTCTTGTTGCAGAGCACGGGCTCTAGGCACACAGCCTTCAGTAGTTGTGGCTTGCAGGTTCTAGAGCACAGGCTCAGTAGTTGTGGCACATGGGCTTAGTTCCTCCGTAGCATGTGGGATCTTCCTGGACCAGGGATTGAACCCGTGTCTCCTGCATTGGCAGTTGGATTCTTAAACTCTGAGCCACCAGGGAAGTCCCAGAAAGCAGATCTTGCTTGCCTGGGACCAACAGTGAGATGAGGGACCAACTTCAAAGAGACACATGAGAACTTTTCAGGGTGATGGAAAAGTTCTGTATCTTCATTGCATGGTGGTTATGTGAGTGTATCTGTCAAAACTCAACAAACTGTACACTTTAATACAGGCGTATTTGAGACTTCCTTGGTGGTCCAGTGGTTAAGACTCTGCGCTCCCAATGCAGGGGGCACGTCGATCCCTGGTCAGGGAACTAAGATCCCACATACCGCAACTAAGCCCGCACGCTGCAACTACTGAGCCCGCACGCTCTAGAGCCTGTGCGCTGCAACTAGAGAAGCCTGCACGCCACAACGAAGACCCAGCGCAGCCAACAAAACCAAAAAAAAAACAAACAAAAAAGTGTATTTTGTTATAGGTGAATTACATCTGAATAAAGTTGATTTTAAAAGTAAATGACTAAAATAAATACTCAGAAATGCTTTTGAAGAATCTAGCAAAAACCCTGCCACATTTCCCTTCTTTCTTTAAGGGGGGGGTAGGGTTGTGAGGGGTTGTGGCAGTGGTACAGCAGTGGGGGTGGGGACTTAGTGTGGTACACAGAGTCTAAAAGTCCTTAGAATTGCTTCAGAGAAATCGAAGCAATGGTTTTCAATCCAGGGGAGTGAGGAGGCCATTCAAAATCATCTATAGATTTTTACCAAATTGCATTTATTCTCACCCCAACACTGATCTTATAGAAGCCCCACCCCACCATGCTGAGAATCATTTATCCTGCCACGAAATAGTAAACATAGATTGAATTTGGAAAAAAAAAAGATTATTAGAATGCACATTGACTAATAACATTAAACACAAAGCATCAAGCCAAAGAAATTTAAGAGAAAACAACATCCATATCCATCTGTAGTCTACAACAGAAAGAAAAGAGAATATTAATGTAGATAAAGAGATGATTTTTATCCTCAGAAGGAATTATCTATGCTCTGGGAAAAATACTGGAAATAGAAAATAAAGTCAATTCCAAAACACTGTATAAACAAATATAACTGCCCAATTGGAGAGACCCAAGAACTGGTTCTAGGCTGCCACTTAAACAGCTTCGCTAATGATCTGAACCACTGGTTCCCAAACCAGGATGTGTTTCAAATTCATTTGTGTTGGAAAAATCTATGAATGCCCGACCAAACTCCCACCTCCAAAAATGTTAATTCAGCAGGTCTGGGGAATGCAAAAGTAGAAATGGGCAACACTTTATGAAGTTCAGCAAAGGGAAAGATTACAGTTAGCTAGGTGGACCTAGATAGTTTCATTGAAGAGGTGGGGCTTGAATGTCAAACAGGACTTAAAGAAAATGGGAATTCCAAGCATAAAATACTATTAGCTGCTGATTATTTAGTGCTTCCATATCCACAGGTGTATCTCCTGGTTTCTAGAATAGCGCCTAGCAGAGTAGGCACTCAGTAATACTGAAGGACTGACCAAATGTGCCGAGCAGTATTTCAGCACTTTGCATATACTCTCCAATTAATGTGAGGGCGGTTACAGAAGCAGAACTCCACACATATGAGAACAATTAACAGGCCTTAAGTGCATGCTAGATCACGGATTTTACTCAGCAGGCAGTAGGAAGCCACTGTAGATTTTGAACAGAAAGGTGACAAACACAAAACAGTGGTCTACGGTAGTGTCTCTCTAACTTTACTGTGCATGTAAATCACTTGAGGATCTTGTTAAAATGCGGATTTTGATTCAGAAGGTCTGAAGTGGGGCCTGGTAGTTCTAACAAGCTCCCATATGATGGTAATGTTGCTGATCTGTGGACCATCATATTGACATTTGAGGAGCCTTGTTCTAAGGAACATTCTAAGGAATATTAATCTGCAAAAGGACAGGAGAGGGGGAGGTGAAAATAACCCAGAAAAGGAATGCCAGTTAGAATACAATTATACTGGACCACATCTGTGGTGATAAGAGCCTGTGTCAGAGGGAATATTAAGAAATAGATGGATAGGGAGAAGGAAAAATAAAGAAATTTAGTTAGTAAGTACACCATAAGTCATCGAGCCTATCCTCCACCCTTTGGAAAAACTGCTTTTAAAAACTCCTGGGGCTTCCCTGGTGGCGCAGTGGTTGAGAGTCCGCCTGCCGATGCAGGGGACGTGGGTTCGTGCCCACATGCCGCGGAGTGGCTGGGCCCGTGAGCCATGGCCACTGAGACTGCGCGTCCGGAGCCTGTGCTCCGCAATGGGAGAGGCCACAACAGTGAGAGGCCCGCGAACCTCCTGAATATAAGGTTATCTAGTCTCTGTTTGAAAACTTCTCATGCCAGAGACTCACTACCTAATCAGGGAACCCATTTTAACTTGAACAACTCTGATGACTCCGACTTTTTTTGTGTGTGCCCAAGTAACTGCAAAAAGAGTAGCGTGTCAAAGACAAAATGGGAAAGCTCAGAGATGGAAGTTTTGGTGGAAAGATGAGTTTGAGTTTTTAGGTCATACTGAGGTTGAGAAAACAGTTATATATCCCAAGTAGAAACAGCGTTCAGTTAGAGAAGTACTGAAAAGACTGATGCTTAAAAGAGGGGCTAGAGGTGGCTATGTGGACTTGGAAGTTAGCATCTAAAGCTATATGAGCGACAAAAATTCACTAAAGAAGAAAATGGTGAGAGAAAAGCAGAAAGCTGGGAAGTAAGCCTTGGAATAGGTCCATATTTACGACATGCAGCTTGAAAGGCAGGTAGGAAATGGAACCCAAAGGAAAAACTTTAACGATCCTGCTTCCCCTTGTGGACCACTAACACTCTCCCAACCTGTTAACTTTTACCTGTCCTTCACTACTCATCTCAGGTGTCCTGTGCTACAGGAAGTCCTCCCTGACCGCCCCTCCCTACCCATGTTAGATGTCTGGCCTCTGTATTCAACTCTTATACCTACCACTCTCTTAATTGCCTATTTATCAGTTTCCTCCACTAGAATAGAGACTCTATGAAGGCAGGGAATGCATTTCGTTCACTGTTGCATTCCCAGGGGCTACTGTGACCAACACTTAATATCGGCACTCCTGTATCTGTTAAATTAATAATGGTAAAAATAATAAAAGCAGCAGACACTTATGTGAACTTAGTATGTGCCAGGATCTGTGCTAAATGCTTCATGGAGATCAGCTCACAGCAAGTATTATAGATCCTCGTTTTACAGATCAGGAAATTAAGACTCAGAGAGGTTAAATGCCCAAAGTTACACGGGCATGGGACTTCCCTGGTGATCCAGTGGTTAAGATTCCACACTTCCACTGCAGGTTCGATCCCTGGCTGGGGAACTAAGATCCCACAAGCTGTGTGGTATGGCCAAAAAATAAAAAACACACAAACAAAAAAAACAAAGTTACACAGGCAAGTGGTGGAGGGCTGATTAGGTCTGTTCCAAAGCCTGTGCTCTAGAAACCATGAGTGATAACAGAGAAGCTTAGGGAGAAGTGTCAAGACTGTGTGTGCAAAGATATAATGACTGAAAAAGGATCACCTGATTTGACAATGAGGTTGACCAGATGCCAAGTGGTACAGAAAGGAGATTCATTTACTTTGATTTTTCCTTTTTTCCCTATTTTTGTCACTGGTTTTCTAAACTTCCTCCATGTCTGCGATGACAACTACAAACGCTGCATTTGAGCCACAATACCTCTAAGAAACCTAGTTAAAGGGTGGGGGGGGGGGCAACAGATTTAACCCGTTCAGCACTAACATATGGCTGAATAGGCTCCTGGCCTGAGGAGATTTGAAAATCAGGAAAGATTTGGTTTCTTCAACTCTCAGGGACAAGAAACAGTCTTGGGGGTCTCTAAAGAAAAGTATCCATCAATCAATGAAAAACTGTTTTAATCCCACAAATACATATTGGAATACGGTTCTACCCCAACAGATATTACAATAAGAAAAGAATCAATTCGAACGGCTTTTGCTCTTTTGGGAGAAGTCAAGTTAGAATATACTAGGATATCTTAGCAGAAGGCTGGGCATAGAAGTTAGTTCCCCATTTCCTGAAAACTTGAACAATTTTATTTAACCACACCCCTTCTCTCTCGCTCACCTCCCTCCCCCCGCCCTCATCTCCACCCCAATCTACTGTGGGCACTTAAACATTTTGGAAAACAAGACAATCAGAAGCTCTGTTTAGGCTGATTCAGGGAGTACCTGATCTCTGTCCTTACGAGGGCTTGACCCACTGGCTATCCAGCCTGGGATGAGATGGGGATGAGGTGGGGGGATGCGGGGAGAGGGCAACCTAGTATATGCCTCCTCTTTGCTAGATCAGGACAAATTGCCACCTGGGCCCCAGGTTTCCCACCTGAAAATGAGGGGGGAAGAGGAGAGGGAGCCCGGCAACTCTGCTCCGGTGTCTCCGGGCCAGGCCCAAGCCTATTCTGCTTTCGGGCTGCAGCCCCTCATTGCGTGAATCGAGAATTCGGGTGAAAAGGGGCCTGTAGAAGGCGAGGGGTGGGGCTTAGGATGGCCGCTCTGCCGGAGGCCCGCCCCCGAGGAGATGGAATCGGCGTCAGGGCAAGGAAGAAACGATCCCTGGAGCGCACCAGGCGGCCCCGCCAGCCCGGTACCTGGTCCTGGAGTTAACAAGCAGTCTCGACCCAATCTCAGCTCCGCCTCCTTGGTTTAAGGCCGCGTTGCCGCCAGGCCAGTTGCTGGGAGGGAGGTACGCAACGTGCCATGCGCAGTAGAGGGACCCGGGGAGGGCTGGTAGAGAACCGCCCCGCCCCGCCCCGCCCCGCCCCGCCCCTCGCAGGAGAGGAAGGCCCGCCCCGGCCCGCTAGGCCCGGCAGGTGGGGAAGCTCTTCCTGGTTCCCGCATCTCCGCTGGTGTGGCGGGGCCCCCGCC